TGGGGTTTGAAGCAATATTTGGATGCAGCAGTGCTGGATTCTTTAAAAAAAATATGTCAGTGTTATTAGAAATCGTACTACCAGTAAAACTGAATCTGAGTGACTTGTGTGGCAGTTAATTCCTTTGTTACGTATACCACTATTACACAGCTGACCTAGCGTATTACATTTGGGGGCTATTAAATGCTAAAGTTTAGATTTTTGGATATTGTATACAGGGTTATTTATATAACGTGACATTACTCAATACTGACAAACTACATAGTGTAGTTTTTTTTTAAACCTAGTGCTTTTTTATTTTAAAGTTAGAGAAGAGAAGGAAATGTGATCTGTGTTTTTTCTGCAAAGAGGTTTGCCTGGCTAACAGCCTTGCAGGTCATTGTTAGCACTTCCTGGTAAAGGACTAACTGTTCTTTTCATGCTACTGTTTGTTTTTCTAAAACCAGGATTTGCTTCCTTTGAAAGCAAGTTGCTTTCATAAGGGATAATGCAACCTGTACGAGGGTTATTAAAGATAGAATAAACCATTTGTACTTGCACAGCAGCTAGTTATAAATCACTATTCTGAACGTGAATTGTCTAAGGAATCTTACATTTTTCCAGTAATTTTTAATCCTTTTGTGCACATGTTGATTTCTTAAATGTTAAATGCTTTGTTTAAAAATAGTGTTCTCTGTTGAGAATATTTTCATGGAATAAAAAAAGAACCTTTTCATGGTTAAGATGGCTTGTCTCTTGTCTTTTGTCAACTTCAGAGGAATGTTTTTGTATCCTCTTTTTAATGCTGCAGCTCTCTAACTGACAAATAAAGTAATATTAACAAATCAGGCCAGATTCTGCTACTTTTACTCTTGGCTTGGATAGTGCCTTGCTCCTCAAGAAGTTGAAATAATTGCAGTAGACCTAAATGTGGATTTAGGGTGTCATTGGACTAAATTAGCTGCTGTAACATCTATTTAGCCTCTTAGCTTGAAGTTCCCGCAGTGCACTGATGAAGTGGAAGTTGCCGCTGAAGTTCTCCTTCTGTAACTGCTACTGGAATGTTGCATATCACAAGAAAACTTGCACGGTGTACACGAGGAGTTACACAGTACCAAGCTGGTTGTTATGGGCCCATCTTAAAGAATTCAGTCTCTATTGGGAGTGACTTGTGAGTACAGATGTGAAACATGAATATCAATGTCCCAGGCTTTCCCATCTGAATAAATGACAAGTTTTGGATTTCCAATCACATGAAAATGTGTGTGCAGCGATCTGTCCGTCTTTAGCAAAAGTAAGTAAACAATCCCTGCAGGGATTATCCTCCTTTGGTATTTGAAAGGATGCCCAGTCTCTAAGCCAATGATAGGGTTTCAGTTTTTTCTCCTCAGTGTGAGGACAGCTAGTGGGGAAAAAGTGAACTAATGTACACTGGCAGAGGTTAGAGAAGGAATAATCACTAACTAGTCCACTGCAATTTGAATCCTCTGTTGTGGCAGCAGAGAAAAGATATTTCCTTAAAATGATCCTGTTAATTCCCCATTATAGTATGCAGTGATACTATGCATAATAGTTCACATAAAGATATACTTTAATTCACAACTGTATGTACAATTTCATATTTGTATAAGGAATATCATACAACTGATATTTTTTAAATGACATACCTACTATCATTTTCTATTTACACTAGACTGTTTCATGACTGAAAATATTAAGTGAAACAACATCAAATGTGATAACTACTGGACATTATAGACATTTTTATAAAGGTGATATCTGGTGAACTTCAGAACAACCTTGTAAAGGGCCATGTGTTAGGTTTGACTGTTCAGGGATCATTAAAATGACATGGTTACAAATTTAACAACAAATAAATAATTCATTTAGAAATCAGTAGTAATTTTAAACAACTCATAAATGTGCATTGTGCAATTTACAAGTCCTAGGGATCCTGTGAATGCTAGAGGCTTGCAGTGTCAAATCAGCAAAAAAACCTTTTTTTAGATTAACTGATGATCATTTGGAGGTTACCATTTAAGATAATTATTGAAGCATTTGTTAGATATTTAATAGATCCACCTGCTTTACTGGAGGAGGTTCTAATTTTCGAGACAGTGCATTTAAAATCTGGTTGAATTTCTCGTATCTCTCCCTCTGATTTACTTGTGCGCCTTTGCTGCCCCACAGCAGTCTCATTTGAAATTCTGTCTTGAAGATCTCACTCATCTCTTCATCTGGTTGAAAGCCTAATGAGGAAAATAAGAGAGACAGAAGTGTGTCACTCAAACAGGCATGTGCTTGGCAGGAAGGGATTTTTAAATTTGCATTCCTTCAAAGCAACATGTTTTAAAAAGCTGGGCTTGTTTTTATGCTATTGGTTTCAAGTTTGGAATTATGAAAAGGCTGGACAAATATTAAAATCCCTTACTGTGAGCCATGCTGCAGGAACACATACATGGCTCTGAGTTAATGAAAAGATAATTGACACTGGCTATTCTGATAACTGAGGAAAGTTTTGGCTCTTGGCCTCATGCCTAATGGTCTGGTCTTTAAAATCTATAAAAGACTGTTAGATGAAGTCAGATGAGTGGCAACTTCTGAAAAATGTCAGCATTCAAGGGGTGTTGCCTGCCTTAACTGTCTATAATTTCCCTGTATAATCTACCAGCCAGTATAATCAACCACCCACATGATGATGCTTGGTTTCAGTTACCCACCAGTGACTGATTATTACTCAAACTGCATGTGTGTGGACTTGGAGGGGGGAGGGGGAAGAAGTTGCCCAGGTGGGGAGAGTGGCAATGCAGGCAAAATGTCCAAAGCTAGAATTGTGTCTTGGGGTGGGGCAGGGGTTTGAAGCACTCTCTTACTAGAAGCACTCTCTTTAATAGCTACAAAGGGCAGTATCTCTGCTGTCTCTTACCTAAATGATGGCATACTTTGCAGGAACATATCCTCTTACCGGTAGGTTGGGGGCTTTACTCTCAGAGTCAGAGGGAAGAGTTCCACATACTGACCCACCTGGCCTTCCTTGCAGCTCCCCTCTGCAGGTCTTGAGCCTCCTTGGTCAATTTTGATTACATGAATGGCTGCAGATTATCTTTGCCCTATTTGGTGACTTCATCCTCAAGCATGGTCATGGTTGGATAGACCCCCTTACCCAGCTCAGTCAGCTTTTTAATCTGTTGTCTGTATCCACCTAAATTCTACACCATGGGTAAAGGAGAGGTAGTCAAAAGGAGTTTGTCAGGATTGTCAAACTCATCTGGCCCACCAGCCAAGGTGAGTGGTATGGGGCCGGTCCACAGGTTGGACCTGACTCAAAAGACCAGCCCCACATTCCGCATCTAGTGTGCGTCCTGGAGAGGTTGAAGCGAGCACCACTGGTGGCTCAGTCCTGCTCCAACATTGTACTGCACATGGTGGCTGCTTTGGGACAAGCTGGAGCAGGCACCACACAGTGCACAGGCACAGGTAGTGCACATGCTACCTGTAGGTCTCTCAGACCCACAGGCAGCACCACGGGTGGGATTCAGCCTGTGGGCCAGGTCTTTGACACTCCTGGTTTACATCATTTTCTTTAGAGGTATTTAGTTGATCTAGCTATTAGCTATTAATGAGGCAGCAAGAATCCCTAACGGGGAGAGCATCGGTGGTGATGTACCTCAATTTTAGCAAGGCTTTTGACATGGTCTCCCACAGCATCTTCATACGCAAGCTATGGAAACCTGGCTTATTCGTTATGCCCAAAACTCATCAGTGGCTCTTGAACTATCATCAGTGGCTCTTGAACTGGGAAGAGGAACCAAGCAGCTTTCCCTAGGAGTATGTTCTGTCTGGTACTGGTCTGTATTTTCATTAATGACTTGGAGGATGGAACGAAGTGCACATTTAGTAAGTTTGTAGATGACACCAAGCTGGGTGGAGTAGCAGGACTAGGGGACAGGATTAGGATTCAAAATTACCTTGCTAAATTGGAAAAATGTCTGAAATAAATTGGATGAAACTGAGTAAGGGCAAATGCACAGTGCTGTATCAGGAAGGAACAAGCAAGTGCGTGCATACAAAGAGGGGAAGGTCGTTAGGTTGCATCTGTACAAAAGGAGCCAAGGGTCAGACTAGATGGCAGCCTACAAGTTCTAGGAAGTTTCAACATGAAAATGTTCCTTTCTCCACTTTTTCCTTCCATAGTGTAGGTTGAAGTCCCACAAATTGGCTAAAGCATAAGCATCCTCAAGAACAATCCAACTGTGAACGGACAGGTAGAACAAAAGCACATTTCTGGCTAATTTACATTTTAATTGTTCCACTTCTGGCATATACTCGTGCCAGTTATGGCTGTTGTTCAGGTCTCAGTCAGCCAAGGGTCTTGGTAGACTGTGCAGCAGCTCTTCATTAGTTGAGCAAAACACAACACATTTTCTGTCCACTCTGAGGAATGCTGAACTATTGAAATATGCAGGAAGACTTTTTTTTCTAGCCAATGTCCTTACCTTCCAATATCCTCTCTGCAGTCATTCTGTACATGTCAGCATGCTGTGCTATGCTACGGGCTGCAGTTAAGTGCTTGAGCATAATTTCACAGCTTTGGTCAGTGTTTTCCCACAGGTCCATCCCTTCAAAAGTGACAGCCTGTCGCTCCATCAAGGTAACCAAAGGCATCAGCAATGGCACTGTGATGATGTTTGGTGGAGAGCACATGGTCTCTGAAACAAATGGAAAAAAACCCCCAGAACAATCATAAATCCTGCAGATTTTCAGCTAATTATAGAGCAATATTCTTTCCTAAGAGAGCCAAACGATTTTGAGCATATTTTTGTCTTCTGTCATATGATGCAGTCTCTCAAAGCAGCATCCTCCCTGCCCAACTGACAAAACTATGCTTTACTATGATACTGCAAAACTATGTAGCACATCCATCTGCTGAATCCTTAGGAACTGCCATGCAGCCCAAAAATTATTGGGCACCTAAGTATCTTAG